GACAATTTGACTTCTTCATTTCCTATCTTTATTCCTTTTATTTCTTTCTCTTGTCTAATTGCTGTGGCTAATGTTTCCAAAACTATATTGAGCAAAAATGATGATAGTGGACACTTGTCTTGTTCCTGATTTTAGTGTGAAGGATTTCAGTTTTTGACCATTTAGCATGATATTGGCTGTTGGTTTTTCATAGATGGCTTTTATCAGATTGAGATAGAGACCATCTATTCCAATTTTTGTAGGGTTTTTATGATAAATGCATGTTGGATTTTGTCAAATGCTTTTTCTGCATCTATGGAGACAATCATATGATGTTTGTCCTTGGCTCTATTGATATAGTGTATTACATTTATTGATTTGCATATGTTGAACCATCCTTGCATCCCTGGGATGAGTCCCACTTGGTCACAGTATATGATCTTCATGATGATCTTCTGCATTCTATTCAACAAGATGAATTTCTGATCAAGCTCTCTTGTTCCTTGCAGACAGCTGCCTTTCTGTTGTCTTCATATGACCTTTCCTCTGTGCAGTATTGTGCACATGATGAGGAGAGAGAAAGCAAACTCTGGTGCTTCTTCTCAGAAGGACATTAATCCTGTCAGTCCAGGGCTTCAGCCTATGATCTTTCTTAACCTTAATTACTCCCTTATGGTCTCCAGCACCAAATACAGCTATACTTTTTTTATATTCTTTGCCAAAATCAAAATTTTACCTTGACTGTTTGAGAAATATATCATTATTACTTTGGCTGCTTTCACAGAAACCAGGTAAGAATGATTTAAGTGAGTGCCTTAAAGTTTGATTCTTTCTCCTATAAAAGTTTGAACTCATTTGTGGTCCTGAGGGTCACACCTGAGGTCATGTCTCCTCTCCTGTTGCTCTGCTATGCCCTAGGAATTGAGGACTACACTTGCAGTTGTACATATCATTTCCATTTAGATCACATAGACCAGGTCTCTGCAAGGTAGGCTAGGAAATGTAGCTGAGTGGCCATTTGCTCCAAATTAAACCCTGGGTCTTATTAACTTAAACAAATGGAAAGAAAATAGATGCTCTTGGACTATTAGCCATCTCTACCACAGGGAATTAAATGAAATTTTTTTATTTTATTAGTTTTGTAGGGCTTGACACACATTCAGGTTTGTAGGAACCAGACATTCAATAGCTTATATGTGACCCAGATTTATCAAGCTATTCGGGAATTTACTTTCATATCTGAAAAACTGATATGGTTCAGAAAGTGTACAGTATTTGAAAAATTTAAGGGTACTTCTTATAAAATGACGCAGTGAGGCCTCATGTGAAGGAGCAGACTGTGCAAGTGGACCCCCCCTTTGTGGGGCCAGTTTTGTGGATCCCTCAGAGTTTCTGTCATGGATACCATCTCCACGATGGTAGGGAGGCTGTGATGTCAGTGTCACACAAGGATAGCACTGTCTGAACATGGCAGCAACTCTAGCTCAAAGGACCCCAGAACACAGGCTTATCAGACATTGCTCCTAAAGGACTCATCTTAGCATGAGAGGCAGAGCATTGGATGCTGTGTGCAGTGTGGGCTGGTGCTCCTGGGAACAAGGACTGCCACCCTGCCTTAGACACTGCTCACCGTGGGACACCTCCCTAGCAGCAGCTGTACTGACCCCACAGTCTGCATGGCTGCTCACAGGTCACCTAGTCTTGGCTCCTGGGAGGCTTTATTTTCCATTTAGCCAGTTTGTCTTCACCTTGAGGGCAGGCTACCCCCCTGGGTGACAGTCTCTCAGGGTGTCACCAGACCATGCAGAGCTTCTGTACCCCTGCAGGACTTGTCTCTGATCTGGACTACAGCTCATGCCAGGCTCACTGAGCAGGGATCCCACTCCTGGAAAGAGAGATGGGGTCTGTTCCAGGAAGAGAGCCATTGTTCCAGGAGCTGTCCAGGAACACACAGGGAGCCTCTGGCTGATGAGATGTCTCTTTTAAGGGAGCTCTTTGCTATCATGGCAGCTTCATCCACCCACCCCTTCTCTGACTGTCAGCACAGTGGGCTTACATGTTAGATTTTGGTAAAAAAAATAAAACAATGGAGACTAAAAAAATAAAACTTTAAGGGCACTTAAATCTATTTAAAGAATTATAGTTACTTTTGTCAACATAAAAATTAAATTACAATATTCTAAATGATTTTTCCCTATTAATAGCCTTCTGCCTTAGTAATAACCATAATGTAAAATACAGACTTTTATCTTCTATTAGGAAATGTTAGTTAAAAACTCAGAGAGCTGTTTATTGTCATGAAGGAGACATCATCAACAAAAAGAGTCGATTATAGCAATGTGAAGAGAGGAATCTGTTGATTGAATTTTCAAAAGATCTTTGGAATGTCTGTCTTTCTCTTCTTTCTTTAGCCTTACCATATACAATATTTAAAAATCTATATTTTCTATACATAATATTTTTTGTAGTATCTATGTTAAATATATAAACATAGGTGGAAGCTTAAACCAGATCACTCTTTTATATTTAATTATCCATAAGAGTAGCAGTTTTCAGAGGAAAACATAACTTCTTTCTTTTTTCAAATGATTTTACTTGAAATACCAATGTTAAAAAAGCAGAATTACAATCGTATAATTTGTATGACACTTACTTCTCATAGAGTCAACTCTCAGAAGCAGTTAAGCTGCCTTGATAAATGCATATTTGAAATTAGAGGGTGATAGAAGGCCAGTGTAGTTTTATATGCCTAAATATTATTTGCTTCTTTATTGTGAGTTACATAATATCAAGAAAATGCTGATTCTCAATATAAGTGGTTGAAAATGGTAACTTTTTAATAGCATGTCTCATCGGTTAAACTGATCTGAAGCATAAGAAAAACTTATTTTGTTGAATCACTAACAGAATCTCTTCAAACCTTAAAGGTACTAATTATACAAAATGCACTCAATGGACTCAAGTTTGGAATAAATGTTTAAACCTTTCATATTATGATAAGCATGTGACTCTATCATGGTAATTAAATTTCTTCATCAAAATAAAAAAATACTAGTTGAGTATATGTAACATTGTAATTACTGTGCTACATTACTGATTATTGGCTTCTCCTAGGAAGAGTATGAAGAACTGCTTCGTTATGCCATAGTGACTCCAAATATTGAATCCAGTGCTTCACAGCCATCTCATCCTAAGGGAGAAACACTAGATGCTAGAATTCCTCCTATAATTGATAATATTCTTCACAATCAAGGTTATGTCTATTTTTTCAGTATATCTCTTTAAGATATTATTGTAGGCTCATCAGTGATACTGAGGGTTCTGAAAATGCCTTTCTAGTTCAGTGATTCTTCTCAATCATTGGAGGGATCTTCTTACATTTTGCTATGTTATTCTTGGCTTTTATATGGAGCTGGATTTTTAATTTCATTTAACTCTTTTATGAAAAGTAATAAATTTGAAACAATACTGTAGCCATTGTATGTCTTATAGTAGAATATGTCACACCTCAATTCTTGTTTGAACAGTTTTATGCCAGATATATCCTGAAAACTAGATGACCAAGCTCAACATTAAAGATGGACCTTAGGTAATCTCTTTAGTGCCTTTATGAATCACATACTAGTTCTTTGTCAGCACTATTTACATGGGCATGAAGGATTGTTTGAATATTCAGGACAAAAGTGAACCCATTTGCGGACTGTGTAAGTAACAGAATTGAGAGCTGATATAAACCAGAATCTGCACTGATAGATGAGAGAAAGTAAAGCTCCTTCAACCTGTACATTTCTTAGTATGTACAAGATCCCAAACAACTCACTCTAAATAAGTATTCTTTCAAAAGGCATAGAACACCTTCCTCAAACAGCCCTGATGGTGGACAGTTACCACACTGTAGACCTACCAGCAAGGACCTCTGTTCTTGAAGGCATGTGGCACAGCCTACTCAGAGTCAAAAGACTATTGGGTTTCCAGCAAGTCACTGCCCTAGTTACTGTTCCTTACCTCCATAGAGAGGGATTTCATTGTTCCTCGGTTTCAGCCTACTGCATTAGAACAGCAAATAGGAGGATACATTTCTTTCTTTATGACCTGCCTTTTCTAATTAAAACATACAGCACCAAGTGGGTTTAGATATCCTGACCCAGAAGTAGACTGTTAGAATGGACTATGGAAACTTACCATCACACATTCTCTTTGTTCTTAGTACTGTGGTCTTCTGGTATAAAGAAGGTACATTTGGAAGTTGGCACAGTATATATTAGCCTCCAACACAGCTATGCTTATAAGGTTTTTCTCAGGTCCCTTTTTGCCATATATTGACTCTTAAGTGGCAGCAGGGAGGTCCTGATTTTGGTGCCACCTAGAGCTGATGGCAGCTAGTGAAAAGCAGGAACCCCTGAAAAATACCCAGTGTCACAAGATAGCAAGTTCTTTTCTGTTTTACTATTTTTCCCACTTATTCTCTTAATGTGGACTGAATGCTACAGTAGACTGAATTGTCTTTCACCCATGTTTGGTGGGTGAGATTGAGCTTATCAGTGATACAATAAGTCTTTTCTAGTTTCAGATTTTTTTTCTTTCTTGTCTTTCGTCATAGTGTTCTTGTGTCCTCAGGATGTTATATTTTCTTTGTTCTAAAATTTTGCTTATATATTATTACCTTGTTACATTAGGCATGCATCATTAAGCACTTTATCTAAGTGGTTTAATTTTTTAAAAACCTTTCTTTTCAGCTGGAAACAGCTCTGTAGTAAGAGAAACTGCAATGGAAGGTGGAAAAGGCTGTGACTTAAATATTTCAAGTCAAGATTCAAAGGCAGATGGTATGACTTTCCTTAGCTTGTTTTTACTAATATATAATACTAGTGATTTGATAAATATTATCTATATAATAAGAGGCATGATGTCAACATATTACTTATTGATAGCATTTTTAAATGATGTTGTTGCTAATTTAAGGCTATTTTTTAAATTTCATAAGTTTCCAGAATTGTACAATTAAAACAGGTTAAGCCAGGTGTGGCGACACATGCTTATAATTCCAGCAGTCTAGGAGGCTGAGTCAGGAAGACCAAAAATTCAAACCCCACCTGGACAATGTAGTAACTCTGTCTCAAAATAAATTTAGAAAAGGCCAGGGATATAGCTCAGTGTGAAGGCCCTGGGCTCAATCTTCAGTCCTGAAAAAATGCACTATTTACTATTTACTATTTATTCAATCATATGTGTTCCATTCTAATGATTTTTGTTATCTTTGTATATACCACCTGTTTTGTCATATTTTTTTCTTTAAATATGTTCAGTTTTAAGCTGGGCATGGTTAAAGCATGCTTATAATCTCAGTACCGGGAGGCTGAGGCAGGAGAATCACTGAGAGTTCAAGGCCAGCCTGAACTACATAGTGAGACCTTGTCTCCCAGAAAAAAAATTCCGCTTTTAGTTTAAATTCATTTAAAAGGAAACTTTATATCAGTTGTTACTTAATATAACATAAAACTAGTATACACTTCATACAATAAGAAAGTAATGATACAAATAAATACAACAAAATAAAATTATTAAATTTCACCTACTGTTGGTGTATTGCATCTGAAATCTGCTTTGTCTTTGTTGAAAGGAGAGATTAGCAGATGTTAAAGACATTTTAAAAGCATACTAGAACCAGATGGAAACTTTTCCTTCACATAGAGTAATTTAAAAAATAAAAATGGAACACATTCCTCACTCTGTGATTCAGCGTCATCTAATGTGGAAACCTTTTAAACCACCATGTAAGAAATATCTTTACCCTTTAGCTTCCTCACATGGAAGTTTCCTTCCAAGTTCTCAAGTTACATGACTTTTTTTAGAAGGTAAATGTATTTCTTTTCCAAACAATTAAAAAACAGTGTCAGGGCCCGGGGATTTAGCTCAGTGTTCCGGCACCTGCTGTGCAAACGCAAGGTCCCAAGTTCGATCCCCTGTACCAAAAAGAAATAAACAAACAATCAAAAAAAACAGCTTCTGTTGTTTTCCTTGTGAGTGCAGATCTGACTGGTAAACCCAGTGAAGGAACCTGTGTATACTGTGTCATTCTGCCTTGTTTTGTGGATTCCTTAGCCATCCTCAGAACACCTAGTGCTTCATAAGCCAAATTTGGTTTGATGGTGTATTTTTTAATGTCATCATTCATATTTTAGAATGATTTTCCCTTTTGCAAAGAATTCTTGGAAAATTCACTTTTAAGTAACAAGTTCTACAGTAGGTTTGGCTAGCTTTGCTCCATTTAGTAAGGAAGTGAGCAAAGTCCTTCGATCTTGGTTATTAGTACCCTTAAAACAAATGTGAGATATATGAGAAATGATGATGAATAGTGTCAAATTCCAGCACAGATGTGTGGAAAAATATTAACTTATCTGTTTTATGGTTTTTAGAGATAGACACCAATTCGCTTTCTGGCTGTGGCTCACCCTCACCTTTCTTTTTAAGCACAAGTGATGACTTACATATATAAGTACATATATCCAGAAAGATGCATATATTTCTCACTTACATTGTGAAGGCTGAGAGAAAGCCTTACAACAGAGTATCTGCTAAATTAAATTACTAGTTACTTCTTATTTATATTGTTGAATCTTAGCATTGGTAAGACCCATCCCAGTTTTCAGGATAAAGTAATAATGACCTGTACACAACCACTCTGACCTTGGTTAATTATTTAACTCTCTCATCATTAAAACACAGATAATAATACCAGCTTCTTAGTGTAGTGTGTGTTATGGGAACTGATACTCTAACATTTTTATTACAGGCACATAGAAAGAACTTAGTTAATGCTAATAGGATGATATGGGCGATAACACTTTCTGCTCAGGTCAGACCTGGATATAGAAGCATCCTGTTTGAGATAGGGGTCATTCACCCATGTGTGGTGTGTGGTATAGGAAGCATCTCATCCTAGAGAGTCCTAAATCATTGACAATACTGAAATTTAAAATAGCCAGATAAAAGTGTCCCTGAAAGGTAATTTCTCTGTATTTTTCCCAGCCTTCACAGTTAGCAGACATCTGGCAGCCTTTCAGTGTGACTCCTTACCAATCTGGGGGATTTTCCATTTGGCTTGGCTACTTCAACTCTTCTTTTATCCTAGGGTCATCACCAGGGTTATCACCAAGAAAGCCTTCTCACCCAGTCATGGATTTTTTCAGTTCACATCTGTTAGGTGACTCTTCTTCACCAGCAGCTAATTCTACCCATACAGATCCCCATGAAATAATTGTAGGTGATTGCTTTGTTTCTGATGAAAACCTTCAGAAGATGGAAAATGTCCTCGATCTTTGGAGTTCCGGTCTTAAGGTATTGCAGCTGTTCAGTTACAGTTGTTTAATTTAATATGTAGTGCAGTAGTTTTGCTCAAGTCTACTGTTTATTTTTCTTTTTCAAAAGCTTTTCTTAAAAAAAATCTAGAGAGGTTGGGGATGTAGCTCAGCATACCTAGCATGCACCAGGCCCTGGGTTCAATTCCCACACCACAAAAACAGAAAAACAACAAACAAACAAAAGTTTAGTTTCCTGAGATGAGTCCCAAGTCTTAGGTTTGTGGGTCAGGTACATAGGAGCCACCTGGAGATCTGGTTAAACTGCAGCTTGATGCTCAGTAGGTCTTGGGCAGGACCCAAAATGATCCACTGCTCTCAAGCACCCAGATGATCCTGGAGTCTGGAAACCATACTTTAAATTCTAGAAATAACCTTTTAGCATAGTGTCTACTAGTCTTCTTCCTCTGGAACAGGTTTCATACTTCCAATAATGGTGTAAGTCCACTGGAGTCATACATACCCAACCGTTCAAATTGTTCTGTGTTCAGTTAGCCATATGTGTTATTTGTTTGTTGTGAGAAATGATTATTTAGTCTTTTTACTTATGCTC